AAAAAAAAAATCACATTTTACTTTATTTTCTGAACATTAACACATTTAACTGTGTCGAAAAACTGCTAAAGTATGGACTTTATTCGCTCTATTTTTGTCTAACCTTTATTGTAAACATCTTTAAATTGCTGAAATATTCTCTCCGCTATTCTAAACACAAATAAATCCACCCTGGTGCCAAATACAGCTTATCTGGGAGCCGTGCTTGTGTCTGGATGAGCCTTTGTTTGGTCCTATCCCCCCGGGCACCCCCCCCCCCCCCCCCCCCCCCTTCTTCCCGACACTATTTCACCACACGTGCTCCCAAATCGGATACAGACGCCCCAGACCACCCCCCTCTAAGCAGAGCTGCTCCTCCTGGCCTGGGACACACAGCGTATTGTGATGTGGAAGGACTGTCTTTTGTTCATCCTTTAGTCCTGAGCATTGCAACAACATCAGCGCTGCGGTACGTACATGCTCAGTTTTATGACTTGAGGTGTGTGATGCTGGAAGAGTGTCACTTGTGTTTTTGGCTTGTTGAAGGGAGAGACACATTGTGAAACTCTATGGCATGATATGTTTTAGAACTTAGTCATATTGCTCTGCTTCTTTCCACTGCCGACCCGTGTATTTTTGACCAGTGTTGAAATGCTGAGTCGACCCGGGACAACAGTGGGATAGGTCGGCTTGTTGTTTAAACCTGTGCTGTCTTCTCACCACAGAAAAAACTGATAAAAATAAATTATCAACACAAACTTCTGACTTTCAAAATAAGTCTTCTAAATTCACAACTAGTACCAAAGGGAATCGCATAGAAATGGACTATACCAAGAAAAACTTTTATATAGGAAAGGGCAGGAAATGCAGCACTTCACTCTTGTTACACAGGTTGTCATTGTGCAAAGTATTGTTGCTTCTATGAAGTAGTACTACTATAGTGGAAACGGGTCTCCAAAGGGCCGCATCTGGCCCATGGGCTGAGTTTTGCCCATCACTGGCTAATGCCGCGTTCAGACCGGATCATGCGTTGCGTCTGCTTTCAATGCAAAGTCAATGGTGATGTGCGGTCGCGCGTGGAACTGCATGTGCGTCTCGGGTGTACACTCGCGCAGCAAAGGCGCGGCAGAGGCGCAGGAGTGGAAAATTGACGCAAGCAGGAGCTTAACATTGTCGAACAGAGCTGCATTATTGGAGAAGAACTTTACACAAAAGGCCACTAGCTTAACTCCGTTAGCATCAAAGTCCGCCCGATACTTCCCCCACTTCCGGCGGGTGCCACCGATGGCCAGGACTTCTGGTTTGAACACCCTTGCGTCTGAAATCTAGAGAATATGCGTCTGGTGCGCGTGGAACCTGATCAGGGTTAGTTAGGATCGAACTACGCAATAATACAGTATTATTAGTATTATAATGTCAGTGTTATTATAATTACTACACTGTGAAGTATGACACAGGCTTTGAATGTGTCACACCTCAGAAAACTCTGATCCCACACGGTGGTCACTGTCCTGAATATTGCATAGAAGATGGTCTTGTGTGAGGCAGCGGTAATTTGGATATTTGTTTTCTTTTCGATATGACTCATGTTTAGTCAGACCTGGAATCCAGCCTTTTGATGACCTCACAGACAAGTCACTTTAACAATGTCCAAGTTTCATTGTTTGATTAGTTTTTGGGAAAGCTCTTCTGCATCTCATTAGTTCTTGTGTGCATACTCGCATCCTAACCCCCATCATGATTGCATGTCAGAGATTATCATTATGAACGGACAGAAGCATGTTACTTCTACAAACTTTCAAAAGGCATCTGCCACATCTGCGGTCCTGTTAGGTGGATTTATTGAACGGTGCAATACTAAAGTTATGCATTCATTCACACCCCCGGAGGAGAGGCTAGAGGAGTACAGACTTGCTACAGTGGAATTCAGAAGGAACACAACAACCCAATCAGAGCAGATTTAAACATGTCTGGGAGAGTGGCATTTGAAAGAATTTCAGCGAATATGAGCAGCTAAACTATTCAAAGTTAGTATAGAACAGTTTTCCATAGCCATTTTACAGACGCGCTTGTCTACAATTTACCTGCTCTCACTATTGGATATGATTTATATCCTAGAAGGTAAGTTGGGCGACAGTGGCTCAGTTGGTAGAGCATTGGCCTTAGAGCTTTAAAGGGGACATATCATGAAAAATCCACTTTTTGTGCCTTAAATGCCTTATGTTGTGCAGTTGGAGCCTCTAGAAGTGCAAAAAAGTTGAAATCAGTCTTATTTTTATTTATTTATTTATTTATTTATTTATTTGGAGGATAAGCCCCTAGAGATGAAACATCTCGTTTTCGAGGGGGTCCTCAAAATTGCACAAAATGACAGTTCTCTTCATGGGTTACAGAGAACACTTCATATTCTGTTTAGGTAAGATTTTTCAACCCGTTCTGATTTTGCCATTCTCTATTACGTGTTTAGAATTATTACGTCAGTGTTTGCAGCGAGACTGCTATATAAGGGCATGGGCGTCTAACAAAACACTTCGGCCCAGCCCTCCTCTACTGTGCATCACTTCGAATTTGTAGTCCAAGCTCAAGGATGCATTTGGGCCGGTCTGTCTGCCTCATACAAAACACATGTTTTGTTGTATAAGCGGGGCGCGCGTATCCGCGGGGCACCTGCTGTATGTACTCGAACGGGATTCCGCCACCTCAGCGGCCGCAGTGTTCCGGGGCATCTGCGGCCGCTTTGTAATGAGCAGCTTCCGCGTCCAGCGGCTGCGAGCGGCTGTGAGCGTCCAGCCGCTCGCAGCCGCTCCACCGTGTTGTGGCTGAGCGCGCAGCCTCAACGTGACCATGTACCCAACCCCATAAACGCGCACAGGACCATGCGTGTCTTTGAGTAATCTGTGCACCCAATAAATACACTGCTGCAGGAAACGGTCCGCGTCTCCCCTCTCCTCTCGAAGCGCGATTAAACGCCATAAATAAAGCTCTGATACCTAAATTTTGCATTGCATTAAAAGTTCATGTTTGAGCCCAAAAGTAATATGTTGTGAACAAATTAAACAGATTTAGAGCCAGCAAATGGCAGACAATATGCATTTCAGTCTTTTTTGACCAATTCTCATTCCTGTAACAAACAATAGTGTTGTCTGTGTCCACCTCCCTCACTCTGAGACATGTTTATTACCCTCTTGTAATGTAGAATATTGCATTTTATTTTATTGTTGAAACTGCACATATCCTGATCCTCTACAGTTTTTCCTTCCACATACTGTATAAACTAGGAGTCGGCAACCTGCGGCTCCGGAGGCGCATGCGTCTCTTTCCTTCTGTAGAAGGAAAAACGTTCTTAACGTTTTTAAATGCTGTAAAATTGTTTAAATTGAAGTAATATTCAATTTAAACATTTCTGTCAACGTAGTGCGTCATATCCTGCGACGTAGGCCCGCGCCGGGCGGCCGCTATTGTAAACAAACCGGCGTGTGAGCATCATAGACTGTGCGCATGGATCCCAAAGCTAAAAAGAGAAGACTCGATAATAAGACTGGACTAAGAATGAAAATTAACATTTGCTTTCAGTCAATGAGGAAGGACTGCTTCATGTTTGTGATGTAATGAGAAGTTTCTATGAGATAATTGTATCTGTGCTTAGAAACTACAAAAATGGCCGCTCGGGGTGGAGTTGAACCTATGTCACCTGGATGGGGGGGGGGGGGGGGGGGGGGGTCAAAAGCGCCTCATTTGCATTTAAAGAGACAGCACAAAAAACAGGTTGCTCTCAGACGCACCTCAGAACAGGTGTAGAAGAAAGGCCCGTGGAGCTACAAATAATGAGACTCAGACCCAGGCATTGCAGTTACGCTTTATATAGGCCACCAATTAATGATTTAGATGTAAAAATCAATTATTTGAAAACACGATATGTCCACTTTAAGGTTGGGGGTTCGAGCCCACCACAAGACCTACTTCACAACTCCCACTGATGTCTGCTGTCGTTGTGTCCTTGGGCAAGACACTTAACCCCACTTTGCCTGAAGCCCCACTGAAAGATCTCAGCTCCTGTGGACTCACCACCTGCAGGAGGATCAGTGAGGGGCTGGTGCTCTGTGTACTGGGTGCAGCTCTCTGACTGCCACCCCCCCGACCCAGAAATGGATTAAGGGGAAGAAAATGGATGGATGGAAAGCATGCTTAGCCGTGACACATTAGAAACACTTACTACTGTAACATTTACTGTAAAAATTGGTTTGAAAGAAATCTGGTCATTAACTGGTGCGTGTGTGTTTGAGTGTGCGTCTTTTGAATGTGCTTGAACACTGCGGCAAGTCCTAAATGGCTCTGAAACAACTTTTTTTTTTCTACCTGAGATGTTGCTACACTACAGTGTTCATGGTTTTGCACTGGTCCAGCCTTTATTAGTCCCACATTGAGAAAATTACATTTTGATGAATATCGTCCTCATGGCACCTGGTGTCTTCTGGGGCCCGTGCTCTGGTTGGGGACATTTACCTGCTGAATTTGTTGATTGATATTATAAAGGGTGAATATATGGTTGATTATTTATTATAAACTTACTCAATTTGTATCTCTTTGTAAATTTAAAACAACGTAGAGATATGTAAATTGTTCATTAAATGTAATTATGGAAAATGTTTTTTGTTTTGTTTTATAACCACATTAGAACATTGTACCAGAAGTTCCACATATTAAAGTGGATGAGCCCTCGCTTTCAAACACTATGATGGCGGCAATATTTCTGTTGTCAAATAACTTTTTATAGAATCTTAGAATGTGCCATGTTTGATGAAATTGCATCTACTACTGGATGAACATGTAAACTAATCACACTTTGTACTAAAACACTAATAGCCTTGTTGCGTCGGCCAATATCCATGTTTCCTGTTCATGTTCTCCAGAACAGAATTACAATGGTTCTCAGATCTCAGTCACTGGCGTGTGGCTTGTATGCGGCCGGTGTGTCCGTTTCGGGCTTCTCCAGTGGGTGACTTTCTACTCTTTTGTTGCAGGGTTCGGAGCAGACTGCCAAAAGCAGCAGCATGGACACGCTCATCACAGGTAATAATCACTGCAGAGGATATAACTATCTTCTGCATGATCCATTACGTTTGTTATATATTTGGTACAATTTGAAAATCTTAATATTGATCCTAGCTTTGATCAGAGCCAGCGCAGGAGAATATAAATGACTCAATCATGGATGAATTTAAAGGAAAAGGGGAAAACTATAACATGGCATGGACAAAACTGTAAAAAGTCTAATATGCAGGTTATGTCCCTTTTTGATGTAGGTTTTAGAAGTGGCACTTTGATCTGGATTGAGCCACTAAAACATGGAATTAAGTAAAGCATTTATTAACTGTAGTAGTTAAGTAGTTATTAAGTGTTGGCCACACTTAATTAATGAATTTTTCATGATTAATTGTTATTTCAACACTTATCCAGCCTAAATAAGGTGTAGTTATTAAAAAGTGTTACCTTTGTCCTTTGGTTTGTTTAGACCAGGTGTCTCCAACCTTTCCCCAGGGAGATCTACTTTTTACATGACAAAAACATCTTGTGAAAATTTGAGAAAATAATGAAATTCGTCACTTGCAGAATTAGAAAAGTTGCTACTATGCTTGATAATTTATGACATTTATGGACTTTGGTCTTATGGCTGCTTATGGACCAATGGCTTATATGTGTTTTGTTACTGCGTTACCTGGGCTCGCGTGTGTCGCATGAACGCTGTGAAATTTGCATAAGGAGCCTGGTTGTTTCTGTTGGCTTGGCAACGTCTGCGCAGCGCCTCCGTATAAACGGGGCCTTTAGATGCGAGGCAAAACAAATCTTAACTCACCTCCTCTGTTTAGGGAATGTTTGCATTTCCTACTTTATATAACAGCAGTATGTGTTCACGGAGGTGCGCCATACGTTTATTTCATTGTTAAACTGTACTTCCGCATCGGAGAACACGCTCAAAGCAGTTGTATACAATCCCGGGAGCATGAAAACGCATATGTTCACAAGCACTTTGTCCCCCATTGTCAACCCTGGTTTGGTCCTGGTCTAGCTCCTGTTTTGGCTGTTTACGAGTATTTTCGCTCAGACCGCCAATGTCCCCGTGACCACTTTGCTGCTCTCTGATTGGTTGCTGCACGAGCGTCCCGAGGAAACGCTCAGCAATATTTATCTCCTGCGTGCGTCGATGTTCCGCTCCTGTACCTCTGCCGCGCCTTTGCCGCGCAGTACGTACGTGCATCCCGAGACGCACATGCAGTTCCACGCTGGAACGCGCGTCACCATTGACTTTGCATTGACTTTGCATTGAGTCACCGCAACGCATGATCCGGTTTGAACGCGGCAATGATCCTGAGATTACTAGTGTAGGGTACACTAGTAATCTCAGGATCATTAGCCCCTAGCAGGTTATAAATCTCCAACTCGCGGCTGAGCTTCCATTCCCTTGAAAAAGTTCTTCAGATAAGAACAAAACATCGCTAAAAACCCGCCAACTGAAGTACAGATGATGGTTGAGCAACCTTCCTTTGTTTAGACTTGTTCTTCTTCTCTGCTCCATTTCAATCAGACTGTATGGTATCGGGGTTTTTTGTTGTTGTGATTGTATGTCACTTAAAAAGAGCAAAAAAATAGTGACCACAAAATAGATTAAGCCCATTCTATTATTAGACTTTGGTTCTAGACAATGAATGATTAATCTTCAGATATTTAAAATGACTGTGGCTTTATTCAACTTTCTTTTCTTTTCAAATTTGCACTAAATTAATTTAAATTAAACAATATAAATTAGCCCTCAATCCTTTCGACAATCTCAAGGCAACCCTCTTGTTTCACCATAGATTTTCTGTTGAAGATATTATTTCATATTCTAAAACATTAGATTACATGAATAAATAGTAGCATTATTTTTCTCCATAAAAATGAGAATGACTCCTATTTCTTCTTGAACAACTTGCATATCCATTTTTGTCCACGTGACACGGCTGTAGTGTGGACCCAAGCCCTGGTGATCAAAGATGGCGCCCTATTCAAATGAATGGCTTGTGCTCAGAGAGATTAGCTGAATTCGCCCATATTTGGGCATAGTCTGGTCCTCCCGGTTCTGCGCAGTGGACGAGCTCCCATGATTCGTTGCGCCAAATATGCGTGTCTGGCTCTCATGCACTTGCACATAACCCCGCTCTGATAGAGTGGAGCCAGAGCGGGAAGGAAACGAGCAGAGTTTGTGGCAGTAAAGTGTGGATTTAAAGAAAACCAAAGAAGAAAACAAGTTCAGGATGACAAGGGACACTGAAATCCCCACAATATCCGATCTTTCTGAAAGCTGTAGGTTCTCTGTCAGCTGAGGTCGAGCTGTTTTAGTTTACATTGAGTTCTATGAGACTTTTTTTCTGGGTAGCCCACGTGAATTTAGTCTGCAGTACCACGGGTGCCCCCTGTGCCGATGGGTGGGACAGCTCTAAGCTAGTAATACCCTATCCAGTTATTGTTATAGATCCATGTGTAGACTTGCATGATCTGAGGTGCATCAGCCTTAATCACTGTGTCTGTGCATAATAATGATTATGATGATGATGTGTGCGACAGCATTAGAAACACTCTAATGCATACCTGTTATTCACACTCTGTAGCTCTCATGACGTTAACCCTTTGTGCTCCAGCTGACGGGAGCCTGGCTGAGTCAACTCCTCTGAAGGACAGGATGGCTCTGTACCAAGCGGCTGTCTCCAAGGAGGCTACCCCCCCCCCTTCGGTGAGCGCTGCATGTCATTCTCTTATTAGTATATTAGTTGTACTATACATATTTTGTGTACCACATTCACTCAATGAATGAGTGTGCGCTGCTCCAGTATACAAATCCAGAGCAGTGCACCTCTGCTGTGCACCTCTGCTTTGCTCTTGTTTTGCCAACTACAGAACTGGAACAGAGATAGAAGCTGCATTTTCAGTATCTGTACCGGGTGTCACTCTTCTATTTTGGATTTGAAGGATCTCAAGGCATTGCACTCCTTAGCATTGCTACTGTTGTCCCAACTGCCCTGGGACAGGGCAGTTGGCCCTGTTGTTTTATTGGCATATCCTCTCAAACACCCACAGAACAGGCTCATACTAGACAATTTGGGTGTTGCCTCGGAACACAACCATAGTTTAGCACTTTGCAGTCCTCCCACAGTGGTACCGGGTGTCGCAGCGGTCTCCCATCACAGTACTCACCAGGCCCAGAACTGCATTGCAAAAGAGTTCTGTCATAAGGCTTGTGTGAAGCTTGAGTGTTGATGTGGAGGGTTGTGTGTTTGTGTCCAGGGGGAGCAGAAGGAGAATGTGCCCCCATTTCATCTGGAAACGGTGAGAACACAACGTTCACTTTCAAAATACTGATAAACCCAATATTTCTAAGGATTACTACTACTACTTTGAAACTTTATCTCATCTTTTCGTCTTGTTTTTCCAGAGCCCAGAGTCTGACGTCTCAGTGAGCAGGAAGATCTTTTCTCCAGAGAAAAATGGTAACTTTCCGTCCCTGTCACAACACACAGGACATATCTCCTTAGACTCTCGTAACACTAGGCTTTGGGTGGACCTCAGAAAGACTGCGATTCCCAAATGGTGCAGCAATAGAAGACTATAATTATTGGAAATCAGGGCAAGATTTAAAGTTGTTCCTATTGGAAGGTAATCCTTATGGCACAGATACAGAAGCATAGAATATACAAAAATCTAATTGAAAATGGAAATGGGATTTGATGAAATGAACTGTATTGTCCAATGGTGTGGCCTCACTGCCCACAGCTACAAGCATAAACATAAACTTTTTCACAACAAAGACCACAGTCAAAGATCATCACTGAGTCCATTTCTGTGACCCCCAATATTCAGTTCAGTTTCAGCACCAGACTGTGCAATACTTAACAAAATAAGAAAAAACATAATAAAAAGTAATTTATGAAGCCATTTAATAATGTATGTGACATAAGAATGAACAAAATAGAATCTGTTCCTGTTGCTTTTTAACTAATGCGATCAGTAGTGCCTTCTGGTCTGATGGAAGAGCATCTAAAAAACTGACAAAAAAAGAAAGACTCGTTTATGGTTGCATTAAAACACCCATACATGAGTCTTGTAGCTCTGTGAATGGGCCTGCAAAGTTTACTCACTTTGTAGTAAACTTTTATTTTATTTTATTAATCAATATACAAATTAAACTGGCATAGTAAGTAGTAAGTAAGTATTTATTTATATACCGCCTTTTCACTGCAGATCTGAGTCTCAAAGCGGTTTACAATTGTTAATTTTTTGTGCATTAGTCTCTCACTCCACATAGAGATGGGAGCGGGGTCGCCAGTACAGGAGGCGCATGCTAGAACTATTGGACATATTTTTAGTGGTAGGGGAAACCGGAGTACCCGGAGGAAACCTACGCAGACACGGGGAGAACATGCAAACTCCACTCAGAAAGGCCCTGGTCCGACCGGGATTCGAACCCAGGACCTTCTTGCTGAGAGGCGAGAGTGCTATCCACTCAGCCACCGTGCCGCCCTGCATACAGAAAGTCACGACAGTTTCAGGTGTTTCATATTCTTAAATAAATAAATACAACTGACAAACAAAAAGAACAGCAGTTACAACATGAAGGTGCCACAGGGGCAGAGGTAGATTCACAACGGTCACAGTCGATATTACCCAAATTGTTACTGACCACACATGCAGTTAAGCAAAATATGACGTGGTGGTCAATATTGCTTTTTTTACCAGCTCGTTAGCTTCAGAAATTAGAATTTTGGAATTTTGAATGCCGAGTTTTACTTCCTGAAAGTTAAAAGATGGCTTTGCAGCTCCTTTGTGTTGTCTTTGTCTCTCCTATTTCAACTTTCCCTCAAGAAAATATTTGCGTTCATCTGACGTAAGTGTAGAACTGTACCTGGTCTAAAATGGGTCTTGCCTGTGTCAGAAATGCAGACTGCAGTCTTCTGTTGTGGTCCTCAACAACTGCTTACAAGTAGCACACTCCCTCTAGTGTTCACCTGATCTCACTGTTTCAGGAGCTGCTGTCCATCACAAAGACTCTCCACTGGCCCGCACTCCCAGGGTGAGTCCAGCTTTCTGAAGAACTCTGACTGCATTGTACCGTTATCCTCAGAATGGTCAGTGTCCACACGTGTTATTCTCATGTGTTCCTACATGGATCCTCGTCAAAAAGACATGGAGACATTGTTAACTTTTCGACCCTATCGCCTATATGGCAATATACTTTGGGGCTGTTGATTATTGATTAATTGTGATTTAAAAAAATGGTTGTCTACTGGTTTAGTAATCAATTAATAATTTTTTTGAACCTTCCATACACTGTTGAGAAGAGATTTTATGTCTAAAAATTTTTTTTGTTATTGGTACTCAAGTCATTATAGAATTAGATAGATAGATAGATAGATGCTTTATTGATCCCCGTAGGAGAAATTCAGGTGTCCAGTAGCAGCAAAAATAAAATTGATCATTCTAAAAACATAATAAAAGTAATAATCAGCAACAGCCCTTTAGGTCACAGCAGCACAGATGGAATAGCCTCTCCATATCAAAGCCATCTCCATATTCATTCAAAATACTTTGTTAGTCATTGTTTTAAATTCAATGTGTGTCAACAATGAACACATTAAGATTTCTCCAGGGACATCACTTTGTTTTGGTCGAATGTAGAAAGAAATCCTTTAGATCCTGAACGTAAATCAATTAACCAGAAGAATTATTGGCAATGATGATCAAAAGCATCAATTATAGGCCTACAATAAATATGTTGATCTTGACAAAGCTGAGGATTCATCACAGCGTGATAGACAACTACTGTTGTGAATTGAGGCTATACAAATATAAATAATAAAAATTCTTGTAATGGCCTGTTTTGTATGTTCCGTAGAGTTTCTGCGCCCCTGTGTCCCGGGAGGTGTGCGTCTCCTGTCAGAAGACTGTGTATCCTCTGGAGAGACTGGTGGCCAATCAGAGCGTGTACCACAGCTCCTGCTTCCGCTGCGCACACTGCAACAGCAAGCTCAGGTAAATGGCAACCCCTCCTTCTCACCAAATATACACTGTAAAGAGTGATACAAAATAAGTAAAAAATTGCTAAAATTTAGAACATTTCATTTTAATTTGATCAAATTTTGGAATGCCTTAAAGATTCTGAAAAATTATCTTGCATTATTTTTTCATTCCGTGGGAGATATTCCTTGTATCTTTTTTGTTTTAAACAACAGTTCTTGAAATAAGACTTAATGGCTTGTCCCTTTGCAAATCCTGTTTTTCTCCTGTGTCCAGTCTGGGGAACTACGCCTCGCTGCACAATAACGTGTACTGCAAGCCTCACTTCTGCCAGCTCTTCAAGGCCAAGGGGAACTACGACGAGGGCTTCGGACACCGGCCCCACAAGGAGCTGTGGGGCCCCAAAGCGGATGGAGAGAGCCCAGAGCCCAGCCCTCCCTCCAGGCTCCCACTGCAGGAGCAAGGGGGGGTCCAGGGGGGGGCGAGGCCGATCTCAGGTGAGTGCAGGGCTACATGACCTCTGCTTATTACAAGAATGCATTTGTTTCTTTGGGCATCTACTGAAGGGATCATTCAATTCAAAGATGGTCAAACTTTCCAGCCGCTCAAAATGGTCGCAGTTTAAACGAGAGGGCTCCTCCCTTTTATAAATTGGGGCAAAGTCACACACAACGATCTGGCCAAAGTGGCCCGGATTGTCGCCACAGGGGTGTGAAGACGGCCGCGGTCACAAGGGTTTATTTTCTCAACCGTGCCAGACCAACTGTGCTGTAGTACACCGCTCTGTCCAGCTGGTGGTGCTAATACTAACTTCAGCGACTACCTCACGGTCAGAGTTAAAGCTGCACTAACTGACTTTATTTTTGTATTCATTACGAAAATGCTATCCATGTCCATGTAGTGCATTGGAATACACGTCCTTTTGAAGAAAAAGTAGCACAGGTTTGTGCTGGCGTGATTTTAGATCCAGTTTTGATGAAACAAGGAAGAGAATGTGTTTCGGGTCGCAGATTGTGACCAATCACAGCGCACCACTAGCCCCCACTTTCGTGAGAAATCTGCTGGTCCCTGTTAGCATAGACAGCTGAGTTAGCACAACAAGCGGCTGAGCTAACCTGAAGCTTCCTCGTCTTCGTCACCGGTTACTGCTTACACAGCGAGACAGCCATCCAAAAGAAAGTCCCGTTCCTCCGCGCTTCCCGGTTTTATCGTTCTATGGTCAAATCCATATCCATGTATTCTCCATATTGGGAGACGCTATCTCTGTCAACAACAGTGGGTGTGTGTGGGGGACGAAAGCTTCGTGGGTGCGGACAGGGGAGCAGAAAGAGCGAGGCAAGGGAGTTCGCGGATTCTAAATCCAAAAGTCAGTTAGTGCAGCTTTAAGCTTCGGTTTCTCTTCTTTTTTGCACTATGCTACTCTAACCAACAGCTCGAGCATGGATCGCGTTCTTTGCATCAAAGCAATGTGTACAAGTGTGAGACGTGTCTTTCACCAATGTGAAGCAGCTCAGTGGAATGTGTGTGTGTGCGCGGCAGACATGGGAGTAAACGGAGCGCTGAGAAATGGATGTATGAGAATGAAAGAATGAAAAGTGTGGCCGACAAGCAGAGCAATCGGAGCCAAGGAGGATACAAGTGAATGCAGGAAGGATGTAATGTGACGTACAATATCACATCCCTGCCACACCTCATCCCCCCCACTCCCCACCACTCTCCACATTGACCCCCTCATCTGGGCTTTTCAACCATGCTCAGGCCCACCTCTCCCACCCGTGCCCAAGCCCAGTTGCCGCAATTACATGGCTCCTAAAGCCCAGCTCTAGTCTCGAAGTGGGCCCAGGCTGTGCCGGGATTTAGGCTGTGCATGTGACAGCAGCCTGATGGCGTATTCACACCGCACACTGCGTCGGCTTCGTGGGCGTCGGGTTTGCATGGTGGCGCGCATCAAGTGCGCAGAGAGGCCAGGCGTCAAATCAGAAGAGAATCAGAATCATTATTATTGCTATGTAAGTAACAGGAAGTCACAGACTAGGAAATTACTTTGGCTCTCGGTGCAAACAAGTCAAAAATAGAGAAGAAAAAGGCATAATAAAACACAAAAGCGTTGCTTTTGGAGCGTTTGACGCGTGCCAGATGACGCTCGCCAGATGAGGTTTTCGGTGTCAAAATCCTTTGACGCCGAAGTTGAGAAATGCTGAGATGTCACTCGCCCAGACAAACTGGGCGAGTGACATGCAGAAGTACACAGCTCCTGGAGTTAAAGGTGAAACTCCCCGAATACTGCAGCCTCTCAAGTCTGTGGTGAACCCTGACACGTTTTGTAGAAGCTATGACGACGTTTTATGGCTTTATATAACTAATAAAGGCACGCTGCACTCTGGACTATCGGCAATTGATATGCTTTTCCCAACGCGCATCATGGACAAGTGACACCAAAATGACAACAAACGGGCACCACGGGGGTATTTGACGTGTTTGCTGTGAACACTCCATAAGAGTACACGCATACAAGCACAATAATGTCACATCATGAAATACATGTTCAGTTGTGCTTGAAATGCCAAATTGTCATGTTATTCCAATGCAAAAGTAGCAAAAGAGCGTGCAATTTTGTCATTAGAGCAGGACGAAGAGAGCGACATTGTGTTCTTGACAAAGACATAGCAACAAAACATTTAATGAAAAGGGATGCATCATTGTGCTCCACTGTGCTCAACACTTACACTACAACGTGTGCGTCATGGTGGTCAATGTTATTTACATTGTGTTATGTAGAAGTAATGGCCCTGTTGTACCTCCCATCAGCCCATGTGTGGAGGACTCTCCTCTGGCCAAAGTCACTGCCCTGACCGCCACCATGGAGGCGTTGGGCCAAGGGGCGTCTCCAGATAGGACCCCTGACAAAAGCAGCGATAAACCTGGTGAAACACGCAGGCTGAAAATCTCCTGGCCTCCACGCACCCAGCCAGACCAGGGCACCACACCTCGAGAGGAAAGTCCAGACCAGGAGAACTGCAAGGGCATCACCAAAGCACCATGGCCCCCACAGGAAGAGGAAGAGGAGATAGAGGAAGAGGAGGAGAGGGTGAGCCAGGCGGATGTGGAGCCGGAAGAACAAGCCACCAGTCCAGAGTCGATGGAGGAGGACAAGTCCAGCTCCAGTGAGTAGTTATGTTCATCATTTGCATGAGATTCTATTCATGACACCACAATGCCAGAAAAGTGGAGAGTCTAATTTCTAACTTCGACCACAACCCAGTCCTCTTTGCACCCGACCCCATGAATGGTTTTCATGTCCTCATAAAAGTGTTTACTCCTTCAGGTGTGATTGAGGATCAGGTGGAGGAGCAAATGGACGAACAGAGAGCCAGTCCAGAGTCCTCTCCCAGTCATACCCCCACAGAGGACAGCTGTGTGGATGTCCAAAGCAGCTCTGGAGAAGAGGAAGCTGCTCTGGGCCAGCCTCAGAGTCATGAAGAAGATCAACCAGAGATGGGGGAACCAGAGGAGGAGACTGTGGAGGAGGTCACACCATGCACGCTGAGCTCCTCTGATGGGGAGGTGGAGGCCAGCCGCTCCTCGCAGGTAAAGAGAAGACCTTGTTGTCAGATGTGGCCATGAAGCAGTTTGACACCCCTGGGTTAAACGTTATAAGAAAGCTGCAGGTTTTGCGTGCAACCCAGCAGAGCGCACTAGACTCCATCCATTTCATCACGTATTGAGTCTTTTGTGCTCCTGCTTGGTTGAAATTAAATTAACCTGCCTCCACACCGGCCTGTTGAGGACCGGATGGACACTCGGGCCTAAACGTTATCTATAAAAACTGACACTGTTCAGATAATATCAGCGAGTAATAAGTACAAGGCAGAGAAAGAGGCTGCCAATCCTCAAAGCACCAGCCCTAGTTGATCCTGCAGATGGCTGCTCTGTCAACATTGACACAACCTTGGACTTTCAGCAGGGGCTTAAGGCAAAGTGGGGTTAAGTGCCTTGCCCAGGGACACAACAACAGCAGACTTGTCGTGTGGAGATTGAACCCATGACCAGGGGTGCACATACATGGTACGCAGGCACGCATGCGCGGCAAATATCAGAAATGCGTACTATCACTTGAGTTAGTAAGCGCGTTTGCGTACTTCACTTATGCCGCTTTTCCACAGTATCAGTACGGTACAGTACGCTTCAGCACGGTTATTTTGCGTTTCCACTAGTGGGTGGTATGGGAGATTTGAGTACTTTTCCGTACTGCCTCAGCCGTGGTTCCATCTCCATAGTACCCGTGTCATGACGTCACGTCGGTCAACACTGATTACACTGATTGGTCAACAAGTGTCGTCACTGGAAGCGACATCTGACCCTTTGGGAAAAACAACTTAACAGCCATCTTTAAAACCGGCTGCTCTGCTCGGCTCTGCTTCGGCTACATTACGTCGTCCTCACTCCAGAGAAATGGAATTGCACAGAAAGCCCCAAAAGTCCTGGTCCTGGTCGGTGGATGAGGTCCACACATGCCTCTCTTCAGGCCAAAGAAAGAATTCAAAGGCAACTCGAGGCTCAACACAGTTTTCAGGGAGATCACCCAGATCTGGATTTTGTGACTAGTCTGTGGTAATCCTGGAAATAACTGGCTAGCTACGAACCCCCTAAAGCTCTCACTGAAATGTATTTACTGTATAAACGTTCGATTGTCTGTTGTACACAGTGAGCTAGCTACAATTAGCTTCATTTAGCTATCGATAGCAGCTAAGCTAACGTCCTCCCTGTGCTACTGTGCTTTATCTCGTATTATCTGCAGTATTCACGTGTTGTCATTCTGTTTTGTGCTTGTATTTAAGTTGTTCTGTGTGTATATTTGTATGATAATCCCTTTCCATAAGTGTGGAGATTACCAACGAGTAATGAGTGACCGGAGTATTCTCCTCATCTGAACCTGGTCTCAGACATACATACTTTTGACTTTGTAAACTGTTGGTTTTGCACTTTACTTTTGTTTTCAATAAATCTGTGATTGTATCAAGACTGTGTTTCATTCATTTATTATTATTGTAGCTGAGGTTTGGGTATCGATTGTTTGTCTGGTCTCGGAGTCTGCTGTAGTCCGGACCCGAGTCCGGACTAGCCTGGCCTAGCTTAGCCGCTAACTCGCTACCCCTATGGCTGTCGCTGTCTCTCCCTCGGTCCTTTACTGCTCGAGTTGCCATATGACGAGTTTAAACCCCGAATCCTCCTCTGATGGCAGTGATAGATGTGTTAAGTGTAGTACAGTTGTAGCTTTGGAATCCAGGGTTAGTGAGTGAGCTGAGTCTTGAGCTAGCGCTAGCATTAGCTATAGCCTAGCAGTATCCTCGGACATGCAGCCCTCCTCTGCTACACGGGCTGCTGTTGCTAAAGGTCTCATTCAGATTGTACAGAGCAGTCAGCTTCATTGACTTCACAGTGTCTTGAGTCATTCTTTTAAGACATAAGCATTTTCAAAAACTACTCGTGCTGTGCAGAATTTTCTATTAAACACTTGCTCTGATATTATAATAAATCATGTACTAGTTACGCGTCACACGTAAATGACGTGATCTGACAACGCTGAGGACATACTGGGGGTACTATTTTTGATTGAAAAGCACGCGAACTGGGCCATGGCGCGCCATTTAAGCCCAACGCACACCGAAACGCCTTGACGCGCGGCAAAAGAGCCGCCTCCTTTATTTTCTATGAGAGAACGCACACCAAGGTTGCAGTGACGCGCGGCGACGCTGGACCGGGCGCCACGATTCAGTTTTGTTGAATCCAGACGCGGCGCCGCGGCTGAAACTGTCCCTCCAAGCACCCGTAGTTTTCTTCTTCTGCGCTTCTTATCACGTAGCTGTGAGCGCGGTCTCAAATTTACACACTTGTCGGCGCTATTGCTCAAGTAAACCGGTCACAATGGACGAGGAAAGCTTGATAACCCAAGTACAGCGTTACCCAGAGCTAGTTATTAGCCTGTTTAAAAAATGGGTCCAAATAGTCTTTTCTTGTAATATTTGCCAGCATAATTTCACGTAAATACTTTGTTTCCTCCCCCAAAATATTAGTAGAAACTTCCAAACGTCACTCACCCATTTCATCTGCGATCAGCTGGAAAAGGACGCTAGCCAAGGCGTTCCGGTGTAATTTGACACATGTCATGAACGCGCGTCAAATGACGCGCCGCGAGGCGCTGCGTTTCGGTGTGCGGTGAGCTTTAGAGTCAAAACGTACCGTACTAGGACTGTGGAAAAACGGCAATAGACCAGTCCTTCTCAAATAGTGGGGGCTCCTCCCTCGGGGGCGTTGTGCGATAACATCCTCCGTTCTGACCCCGGGAGAAACTGTGGCCGCTCTGACAACTTAGCGAATGCGCGTGGTCATGTACCGAGCGCGGATCATAGACGCGGGCACAGAACCATACACACGCGATCAGGACCGTCCCCATGTGGTTGCACGTGTGGATCTTGCCTGTCTCCCCTGTCTCTCCTGTCTCTCCCCCATGCCTCTTCAAAGTCTTCCCCCAAGTCTCCTGACGAAGCGCAGCCAAAACAGCCACTGGATTGAAGCTTGGGTACCTAAATTTTCGCATGCATTGGAAATACATGTTATTTGTGAACCAAAGTAAAATATTGTGACCAAATCAAACAGAACAAACCAAAACAGTCTTGTCATTTTTTTTTTTAACTTAAGAGCCCTGTGAGTCGTTATTTGACTTTTTTGGCTGAGAGTGGATTTTTTCCACATAGTTAGCGCCACTTTACTCTTTTTGACTTTTTGTATTGAGAAACATGTGTTAGTCTCACATTATTATTGTTTTTTTGTATTACCTTTCTTGTGTGGAAGTTGTATATTCTTTCATTATTCTACTGAAGGATTATAATATTACACTGCATTTTTATTGACAAGTGCCAGCTCTCAAATTCTTCTGAAATTATGTTTCTATCTGTTTCTGATATACCAATCATTCTGTAGATGTTGAATTTCAGGAAAACTTCAGGTTGGAGGTGGTTAGGTTTTCCAGGTCTGTTTTATCACCTGTGTCAGGCCTTAATGGGTTATTTGACTTGGATTGAGTGGATTATTTGAGCTGATCTAAACTTTAGCATTAAAAAGAAGCAAGTATAAAATCTTGATTTAAGAACCGTGCGACAAATGGAATGAGTACCAAACACCATGTCCTGGTACTCATCTGAGAACCTCACTGAAAAAGTTTTGTGCACCCCTGCCTATGACCATTAGGTTCAAAGACCAATGAGGGTCTTTCTAGATGACCCACAGATCTTACATTTGTGTTGTTTTTGGTTTGTCAGGACGTTGGTTTCTGGGACAGCGAGGAGGTGGAGGAGAAGGAGGAGCTAACTGTGGAGGAGCTCATCAAGCGAAACAGGGTCTATGAGGAAGAGGAGGAGAACAACGCATGAGAGGAGCCCCCTGGAGGTGCCTGTTTCCACTTACCTGAGCGACTGCCTTACATGACTGAGAGAGATTTCAGTTCATGATTTCATCATGATTCTAAGCTACTGCTGTCAATGTGTGAATTAGGAAAGTCACTTTCTTAAGAATTTTAGAAATTTCATGAAGTTCTGTTTGTTCCTATTCATTAATTGACCAAATCTACCCACAATTATTAGACAATGGAACCACACACACACACACACACACACACACACACACACACACACACACACACACACACACACACACACACACACACACACACACCCCTCTGTATTATTACGTTCAAATTTCAGCTGAAGTGAATTCAACCATTTTTAACAAAATAAGTTTGATATTTTTGTGTTTAAAAATGCGTTACTTCCATAGTAAATTTGACAATGATGATGCTTTCTACATTCCAAATGGTGAATTCTGATGATTACAAATGTGAAATATTCCTTTCAGTGGTCAGAGGATGTTTGTAACTTTCACTCACCATCACATTTTCATTTTTTCTCCTAATGATTCGTATTATTGTGATTGAAATTGTACAATGTTTGTAGTCCAAACTCCAAAAATTAATCTGAAACGAAAATTTGAACTCATCCAGTGGCTGTTTTGGCTGCGCTTCGTCAGGAGAACTTGGGGGAAGACTTTGAAGAGGCATGGGGGAGAGACAGGAGAGACAGGGGAGACAGGCAAGATCCACACGTGCAACCACATGGGGACGGTCCTGATCGCGTGTGTATGGTTCTGTGCCCGCGTCTATGATCCGCGCTCGGTACATGACCACGCGCATTCGCTAAGTTGTCAGAGCGGCCACAGTTTCTCCCCGGGGTCAGAACGGAGGATGTTATCGCACAACGCCCCCGAGGGAGGAGCCCCCACTATTTGAGAAGGACTGGTCTATTGCCGTTTTTCCACAGTCCTAGTACGGTACGTTTTGACTCTAAAGCTCACCGCACACCGAAACGCAGCGCCTCGCGGCGCGTCATTTGACGCGCGTTCATGACATGTGTCAAATTACACCGGAACGCCTTGGCTAGCGTCCTTTTCCAGCTGATCGCAGATGAAATGGGTGAGTGACGTTTGGAAGTTTCTACTAATATTTTGGGGGAGGAAACAAAGTATTTACGTGAAATTATGCTGGCAAATATTACAAGAAAAGACTATTTGGACCCATTTTTTAAACAGGCTAATAACTAGCTCTGGGTAACGCTGTACTTGGGTTATCAAGCTTTCCTCGTCCATTGTGACCGGTTTACTTGAGCAATAGCGCCGACAAGTGTGTAAATTTGAGACCGCGCTCACAGCTACGTGATAAGAAGCGCAGAAGAAGAAAACTACGGGTGCTTGGAGGGACAGTTTCAGCCGCGGCGCCGCGTCTGGATTCAACAAAACTGAATCGTGGCGCCCGGCATCCAGCGTCGCCGCGCGTCACACACTGCAACCTTTGGTGTGCGTTCTCTCATAGAAAATAAAGGAGGCGGCTCTTTTGCCGCGCGTCAAGGCGTTTCGGTGTGCGTTGGGCTTAAATGGCGCGCCATGGCCCAGTTCGCGTGCTTTTCAATCAAAAATAGTACCCCCAGTATGTCCTCAGCGTTGTCAGATCACGTCATTTACGTGTGACGCGTAACTAGTACATGATTTATTATAATATCAGAGCAAGTGTTTAATAGAAAATTCTGCACAGCACGAGTAGTTTTTGAAAATGCTTATGTCTTAAAAGAATGACTCAAGACACTGTGAAGTCAATGAAGCTGACTGCTCTGTACAATCTGAATGAGACCTTTAGCAACAGCAGCCCGTGTAGCAGAGGAGGGCTGCATGTCCGAGGATACTGCTAGGCTATAGCTAATGCTAGCGCTAGCTCAAGACTCAGCTCACTCACTAACCCTGGATTCCAAAGCTACAACTGTACTACACTTAACACATCTATCACTGCCATCAGAGGAGGATTCGGGGTTTAAACTCGTCATATGGCAACTCGAGCAGTAAAGGACCGAGGGAGAGACAGCGACAGCCATAGGGGTAGCGAGTTAGCGGCTAAGCTAGGCCAGGCTAGTCCGGACTCGGGTCCGGACTACAGCAGGACTCCGAGACCAGACAAACAATCGATACCCAAACCTCAGCTACAATAATAATAAATGAATGAAACACAGTCTTGATACAATCACAGATTTATTGAAAACAAAAGTAAAGTGCAAAACCAACAGTTTACAAAGTCAAAAGTATGTATGTCTGAGACCAGGTTCAGATGAGGAGAATACTCCCGGTCACTCATTACTCGTTGGTAATCTCCACACTTATGGAAAGGGATTATCATACAAATATACACACAGAACAACTTAAATACAAGCACAAAACAGAATGACAACACGTGAATACTGCAGATAATACGAGATAAAGCACAGTAGCACAGGGAGGACGTTAGCTTAGCTGCTATCGATAGCTAAATGAAGCTAATTGTAGCTAGCTCACTGTGTACAACAGACAATCGAACGTTTATACAGTAAATACATTTCAGTGAGAGCTTTAGGGGGTTCGTAGCTAGCCAGTTATTTCCAGGATTACCACAGACTAGTCACAAAATCCAGATCTGGGTGATCTCCCTGAAAACTGTGTTGAGCCTCGAGTTGCCTTTGAATTCTTTCTTTGGCCTGAAGAGAGGCATGTGTGGACCTCATCCACCGACCAGGACCAGGACTTTTGGGGCTTTCTGTGCAATTCCATTTCTCTGGAGTGAGGACGACGTAATGTAGCCGAAGCAGAGCCGAGCAGAGCAGCCGGTTTTAAAGATGGCTGTTAAGTTGTTTTTCCCAAAGGGTCAGATGTCGCTTCCAGTGACGACACTTGTTGACCAATCAGTGTAATCAGTGTTGACCGACGTGACGTCATGACACGGGTACTATGGAGATGGAACCACGGCTGAGGCAGTACGGAAAAGTACTCAAATCTCCCATACCACCCACTAGTGGAAACGCAAAATACCGTGCTGAAGCGTACTGTACCGTACTGATACTGTGGAAAAGCGGCATAAGTGAAGTACGCAAACGCGCTTACTAACTCAAGTGATAGTACGCATTTCTGATATTTGCCGCGCATGCGTGCCTGCGTACCATGTATGTGCACCCCTGGTCATGGGTTCAATCTCCACACGACAAGTCTGCTGTTGTTGTGTCCCTGGGCAAGGCACTTAACCCCACTTTGCCTTAAGCCCCTGCTGAAAGTCCAAGGTTGTGTCAATGTTGACAGAGCAGCCATCTGCAGGATCAACTAGGGCTGGTGCTTTGAGGATTGGCAGCCTCTTTCTCTGCCTTGTACTTATTACTCGCTGATATTATCTGAACAGTGTCAGTTTTTATAGATAACGTTTAGGCCCGAGTGTCCATCCGGTCCTCAACAGGCCGGTGTGGAGGCAGGTTAATTTAATTTCAACCAAGCAGGAGCACAAAAGACTCAATACGTGATGAAATGGATGGAGTCTAGTGCGCTCTGCTGGGTTGCACGCAAAACCTGCAGCTTTCTTATAACGTTTAACCCAGGGGTGTCAAACTGCTTCATGGCCACATCTGACAACAAGGTCTTCTCTTTACCTGCGAGGAGCGGCTGGCCTCCACCTCCCCATCAGAGGAGCTCAGCGTGCATGGTGTGACCTCCTCCACAGTCTCCTCCTCTGGTTCCCCCATCTCTGGTTGATCTTCTTCATGACTCTGAGGCTGGCCCAGAGCAGCTTCCTCTTCTCCAGAGCTGCTTTGGACATCCACACAGCTGTCCTCTGTGGGGGTATGACTGGGAGAGGACTCTGGACTGGCTCTCTGTTCGTCCATTTGCTCCTCCACCTGATCCTCAATCACACCTGAAGGAGTAAACACTTTTATGAGGACATGAAAACCATTCATGGGGTCGGGTGCAAAGAGGACTGGGTTGTGGTCGAAGTTAGAAATTAGACTCTCCACTTTTCTGGCATTGTGGTGTCATGAATAGAATCTCATGCAAATGATGAACATAACTACTCACTGGAGCTGGACTTGTCCTCCTCCATCGACTCTGGACTGGTGGCTTGTTCTTCCGGCTCCACATCCGCCTGGCTCACCCTCTCCTCCTCTTCCTCTATCTCCTCTTCCTCTTCCTGTGGGGGCCATGGTGCTTTGGTGATGCCCTTGCAGTTCTCCTGGTCTGGACTTTCCTCTCGAGGTGTGGTGCCCTGGTCTGGCTGGGTGCGTGGAGGCCAGGAGATTTTCAGCCTGCGTGTTTCACCAGGTTTATCGCTGCTTTTGTCAGGGGTCCTATCTGGAGACGCCCCTTGGCCCAACGCCTCCATGGTGGCGGTCAGGGCAGTGACTTTGGCCAGAGGAGAGTCCTCCACACATGGGCTGATGGGAGGTACAACAGGGCCATTACTTCTACATAACACAATGTAAATAACATTGACCACCATGACGCACACGTTGTAGTGTAAGTGTTGAGCACAGTGGAGCACAATGATGCATCCCTTTTCATTAAATGTTTTGTTGCTATGTCTTTGTCAAGAACACAATGTCGCTCTCTTCGTCCTGCTCTAATGACAAAATTGCACGCTCTTTTGCTACTTTTGCATTGGAATAACATGACAATTTGGCATTTCAAGCACAACTGAACATGTATTTCATGATGTGACATTATTGTGCTTGTATGCGTGTACTCTTATGGAGTGTTCACAGCAAACACGTCAAATACCCCCGTGGTGCCCGTTTGTTGTCATTTTGGTGTCACTTGTCCATGATGCGCGTTGGGAAAAGCATATCAATTGCCGATAGTCCAGAGTGCAGCGTGCCTTTATTAGTTATATAAAGCCATAAAACGTCGTCATAGCTTCTACAAAACGTGTCAGGGTTCACCACAGACTTGAGAGGCTGCAGTATTCGGGGAGTTTCACCTTTAACTCCAGGAGCTGTGTACTTCTGCATGTCACTCGCCCAGTTTGTCTGGGCGAGTGACATCTCAGCATTTCTCAACTTCGGCGTCAAAGGATTTTGACACCGAAAACCTCATCTGGCGAGCGTCATCTGGCACGCGTCAAACGCTCCAAAAGCAACGCTTTTGTGTTTTATTATGCCTTTTTCTTCTCTATTTTTGACTTGTTTGCACCGAGAGCCAAAGTAATTTCCTAGTCTGTGACTTCCTGTTACTTACATAGCAATAATAATGATTCTGATTCTCTTCTGATTTGACGCCTGGCCTCTCTGCGCACTTGATGCGCGCCACCATGCAAACCCGACGCCCACGAAGCCGACGCAGTGTGCGGTGTGAATACGCCATCAGGCTGCTGTCACATGCACAGCCTAAATCCCGGCACAGCCTGGGCCCACTTCGAGACTAGAGCTGGGCTTTAGGAGCCATGTAATTGCGGCAACTGGGCTTGGGCACGGGTGGGAGAGGTGGGCCTGAGCATGGTTGAAAAGCCCAGATGAGGGGGTCAATGTGGAGAGTGGTGGGGAGTGGGGGGGATGAGGTGTGGCAGGGATGTGATATTGTACGTCACATTACATCCTTCCTGCATTCACTTGTATCCTCCTTGGCTCCGATTGCTCTGCTTGTCGGCCACACTTTTCATTCTTTCATTCTCATACATCCATTTCTCAGCGCTCCGTTTACTCCCATGTCTGCCGCGCACACACACACATTCCACTGAGCTGCTTCACATTGGTGAAAGACACGTCTCACACTTGTACACATTGCTTTGATGCAAAGAACGCGATCCATGCTCGAGCTGTTGGTTAGAGTAGCATAGTGCAAAAAAGAAGAGAAACCGAAGCTTAAAGCTGCACTAACTGACTTTTGGATTTAGAATCCGCGAACTCCCTTGCCTCGCTCTTTCTGCTCCCCTGTCCGCACCCACGAAGCTTTCGTCCCCCACACACACCCACTGTTGTTGACAGAGATAGCGTCTCCCAATATGGAGAATACATGGATATGGATTTGACCATAGAACGATAAAACCGGGAAGCGCGGAGGAACGGGACTTTCTTTTGGATGGCTGTCTCGCTGTGTAAGCAGTAACCGGTGACGAAGACGAGGAAGCTTCAGGTTAGCTCAGCCGCTTGTTGTGCTAACTCAGCTGTCTATGCTAACAGGGACCAGCAGATTTCTCACGAAAGTGGGGGCTAGTGGTGCGCTGTGATTGGTCACAATCTGCGACCCGAAACACATTCTCTTCCTTGTTTCATCAAAACTGGATCTAAAATCACGCCAGCACAAACCTGTGCTACTTTTTCTTCAAAAGGACGTGTATTCCAATGCACTACATGGACATGGATAGCATTTTCGTAATGAATACAAAAATAAAGTCAGTTAGTGCAGCTTTAACTCTGACCGTGAGGTAGTCGCTGAAGTTAGTATTAGCACCACCAGCTGGACAGAGCGGTGTACTACAGCACAGTTGGTCTGGCACGGTTGAGAAAATAAACCCTTGTGACCGCGGCCGTCTTCACACCCCTGTGGCGACAATCCGGGCCACTTTGGCCAGATCGTTGTGTGTGACTTTGCCCCAATTTATAAAAGGGAGGAGCCCTCTCGTTTAAACTGCGACCATTTTGAGCGGCTGGAAAGTTTGACCATCTTTGAATTGAATGATCCCTTCAGTAGATGCCCAAAGAAACAAATGCATTCTTGTAATAAGCAGAGGTCATGTAGCCCTGCACTCACCTGAGATCGGCCTCGCCCCCCCCCTGGACCCCCCCTTGCTCCTGCAGTGGGAGCCTGGAGGGAGGGCTGGGCTCTGGGCTCTCTCCATCCGCTTTGGGGCCCCACAGCTCCTTGTGGGGCCGGTGTCCGAAGCCCTCGTCGTAGTTCCCCTTGGCCTTGAAGAGCTGGCAGAAGTGAGGCTTGCAGTACACGTTATTGTGCAGCGAGGCGTAGTTCCCCAGACTGGACACAGGAGAAAAACAGGATTTGCAAAGGGACAAGCCATTAAGTCTTATTTCAAGAACTGTTGTTTAAAACAAAAAAGATACAAGGAATATCTCCCACGGAATGAAAAAATAATGCAAGATAATTTTTCAGAATCTTTAAGGCATTCCAAAATTTGATCAAATTAAAATGAAATGTTCTAAATTTTAGCAATTTTTTACTTATTTTGTATCACTCTTTACAGTGTATATTTGGTGAGAAGGAGGGGTTGCCATTTACCTGAGCTTGCTGTTGCAGTGTGCGCAGCGGAAGCAGGAGCTGTGGTACACGCTCTGATTGGCCACCAGTCTCTCCAGAGGATACACAGTCTTCTGACAGGAGACGCACACCTCCCGGGACACAGGGGCGCAGAAACTCTACGGAACATACAAAACAGGCCATTACAAGAATTTTTATTATTTATATTTGTATAGCCTCAATTCACAACAGTAGTTGTCTATCACGCTGTGATGAATCCTCAGCTTTGTCAAGATCAACATATTTATTGTAGGCCTATAATTGATGCTTTTGATCATCATTGCCAATAATTCTTCTGGTTAATTGATTTACGTTCAGGATCTAAAGGATTTCTTTCTACATTCGACCAAAACAAAGTGATGTCCCTGGAGAAATCTTAATGTGTTCATTGTTGACACACATTGAATTTAAAACAATGACTAACAAAGTATTTTGAATGAATATGGAGATGGCTTTGATATGGAGAGGCTATTCCATCTGTGCTGCTGTGACCTAAAGGGCTGTTGCTGATTATTACTTTTATTATGTTTTTAGAATGATCAATTTTATTTTTGCTGCTACTGGACACCTGAATTTCTCCTACGGGGATCAATAAAGCATCTATCTATCTATCTATCTAATTCTATAATGACTTGAGTACCAATAACAAAAAAAATTTTTAGACATAAAATCTCTTCTCAACAGTGTATGGAAGGTTCAAAAAAATTATTAATTGATTACTAAACCAGTAGACAACCATTTTTTTAAATCACAATTAATCAATAATCAACAGCCCCAAAGTATATTGCCATATAGGCGATAGGGTCGAAAAGTTAACAATGTCTCCATGTCTTTTTGACGAGGATCCATGTAGGAACACATGAGAATAACACGTGTGGACACTGACCATTCTGAGGATAACGGTACAATGCAGTCAGAGTTCTTCAGAAAGCTGGACTCACCCTGGGAGTGCGGGCCAGTGGAGAGTCTTTGTGATGGACAGCAGCTCCTGAAACAGTGAGATCAGGTGAACACTAGAGGGAGTGTGCTACTTGTAAGCAGTTGTTGAGGACCACAACAGAAGACTGCAGTCTGCATTTCTGACACAGGCAAGACCCATTTTAGACCAGGTACAGTTCTACACTTACGTCAGATGAACGCAAATATTTTCTTGAGGGAAAGTTGAAATAGGAGAGACAAAGACAACACAAAGGAGCTGCAAAGCCATCTTTTAACTTTCAGGAAGTAAAACTCGGCATTCAAAATTCCAAAATTCTAATTTCTGAAGCTAACGAGCTGGTAAAAAAAGCAATATTGACCACCACGTCATATTTTGCTTAACTGCATGTGTGGTCAGTAACAATTTGGGTAATATCGACTGTGACCGTTGTGAATCTACCTCTGCCCCTGTGGCACCTTCATGTTGTAACTGCTGTTCTTTTTGTTTGTCAGTTGTATTTATTTATTTAAGAATATGAAACACCTGAAACTGTCGTGACTTTCTGTATGCAGGGCGGCACGGTGGCTGAGTGGATAGCACTCTCGCCTCTCAGCAAGAAGGTCCTGGGTTCGAATCCCGGTCGGACCAGGGCCTTTCTGAGTGGAGTTTGCATGTTCTCCCCGTGTCTGCGTAGGTTTCCTCCGGGTACTCCGGTTTCCCCTACCACTAAAAATATGTCCAATAGTTCTAGCATGCGCCTCCTGTACTGGCGACCCCGCTCCCATCTCTATGTGGAGTGAGAGACTAATGCACAAAAAATTAACAATTGTAAACCGCTTTGAGACTCAGATCTGCAGTGAAAAGGCGGTATATAAATAAATACTTACTTACTACTTACTATGCCAGTTTAATTTGTATATTGATTAATAAAATAAAATAAAAGTTTACTACAAAGTGAGTAAACTTTGCAGGCCCATTCACAGAGCTACAAGACTCATGTATGGGTGTTTTAATGCAACCATAAACGAGTCTTTCTTTTTTTGTCAGTTTTTTAGATGCTCTTCCATCAGACCAGAAGGCACTACTGATCGCATTAGTTAAAAAGCAACAGGAACAGATTCTATTTTGTTCATTCTTATGTCACATACATTATTAAATGGCTTCATAAATTACTTTTTATTATGTTTTTTCTTATTTTGTTAAGTATTGCACAGTCTGGTGCTGAAACTGAACTGAATATTGGGGGTCACAGAAATGGACTCAGTGATGATCTTTGACTGTGGTCTTTGTTGTGAAAAAGTTTATGTTTATGCTTGTAGCTGTGGGCAGTGAGGCCACACCATTGGACAATACAGTTCATTTCATCAAATCCCATTTCCATTTTCAATTAGATTTTTGTATATTCTATGCTTCTGTATCTGTGCCATAAGGATTACCTTCCAATAGGAACAACTTTAAATCTTGCCCTGATTTCCAATAATTATAGTCTTCTATTGCTGCACCATTTGGGAATCGCAGTCTTTCTGAGGTCCACCCAAAGCCTAGTGTTACGAGAGTCTAAGGAGATATGTCCTGTGTGTTGTGACAGGGACGGAAAGTTACCATTTTTCTCTGGAGAAAAGATCTTCCTGCTCACTGAGACGTCAGACTCTGGGCTCTGGAAAAACAAGACGAAAAGATGAGATAAAGTTTCAAAGTAGTAGTAGTAATCCTTAGAAATATTGGGTTTATCAGTATTTTGAAAGTGAACGTTGTGTTCTCACCGTTTCCAGATGAAATGGGGGCACATTCTCCTTCTGCTCCCCCTGGACACAAACACACAACCCTCCACATCAACACTCAAGCTTCACACAAGCCTTATGACAGAACTCTTTTGCAATGCAGTTCTGGGCCTGGTGAGTACTGTGATGGGAGACCGCTGCGACACCCGGTACCACTGTGGGAGGACTGCAAAGTGCTAAACTATGGTTGTGTTCCGAGGCAACACCCAAATTGTCTAGTATGAGCCTGTTCTGTGGGTGTTTGAGAGGATATGCCAATAAAACAACAGGGCCAACTGCCCTGTCCCAGGGCAGTTGGGACAACAGTAGCAATGCTAAGGAGTGCAATGCCTTGAGATCCTTCAAATCCAAAATAGAAGAGTGACACCCGGTACAGATACTGAAAATGCAGCTTCTATCTCTGTTCCAGTTCTGTAGTTGGCAAAACAAGAGCAAAGCAGAGGTGCACAGCAGAGGTGCACTGCTCTGGATTTGTATACTGGAGCAGCGCACACTCATTCATTGAGTGAATGTGGTACACAAAATATGTATAGTACAACTAATATACTAATAAGAGAATGACATGCAGCGCTCACCGAAGGGGGGGTAGCCTCCTTGGAGACAGCCGCTTGGTACAGAGCCATCCTGTCCTTCAGAGGAGTTGACTCAGCCAGGCTCCCGTCAGCTGGAGCACAAAGGGTTAACGTCATGAGAGCTACAGAGTGTGAATAACAGGTATGCATTAGAGTGTTTCTAATGCTGTCGCACACATCATCATCATAATCATTATTATGCACAGACACAGTGATTAAGGCTGATGCACCTCAGATCATGCAAGTCTACACATGGATCTATAATAATAACTGGATAGGGTATTACTAGCTTAGAGCTGTCCCACCCATGGGCACAGGGGGCACCCGTGGTACTGCAGACTAAATTCACGTGGGCTACCCAGAAAAAAAAGTCTCATAGAACTCAATGTAAACTAAAACAGCTCGACCTCAGCTGACAGAGAACCTACAGCTTTCAGAAAGATCGGATATTGTGGGGATTTCAGTGTCCCTTGTCATCCTGAACTTGTTTTCTTCTTTGGTTTTCTTTAAATCCACACTTTACTGCCACAAACTCTGCTCGTTTCCTTCCCGCTCTGGCTCCACTCTATCAGAGCGGGGTTATGTGCAAGTGCATGAGAGCCAGACACGCATATTTGGCGCAACGAATCATGGGAGCTCGTCCACTGCGCAGAACCGGGAGGACCAGACTATGCCCAAATATGGGCGAATTCAGCTAATCTCTCTGAGCACAAGCCATTCATTTGAATAGGGCGCCATCTTTGATCACCAGGGCTTGGGTCCACACTACAGCCGTGTCACGTGGACAAAAATGGATATGCAAGTTGTTCAAGAAGAAATAGGAGTCATTCTCATTTTTATGGAGAAAAATAATGCTACTATTTATTCATGTAATCTAATGTTTTAGAATATGAAATAATATCTTCAACAGAAAATCTATGGTGAAACAAGAGGGTTGCCTTGAGATTGTCGAAAGGATTGAGGGCTAATTTATATTGTTTAATTTAAATTAATTTAGTGCAAATTTGAAAAGAAAAGAAAGTTGAATAAAGCCACAGTCATTTTAAATATCTGAAGATTAATCATTCATTGTCTAGAACCAAAGTCTAATAATAGAATGGGGATGTTATCTATCCTCTTATTGGCTTAATCTATTTTGTGGTCACTATTTTTTTGCTCTTTTTAAGTGACATACAATCACAACAACAAAAAACCCCGATACCATACAGTCTGATTGAAATGGAGCAGAGAAGAAGAACAAGTCTAAACAAAGGAAGGTTGCTCAACCATCATCTGTACTTCAGTTGGCGGGTTTTAGCGATGTTTTGTTCTTATCTGAAGAACTTTTTCAAGGGAATGGAAGCTCAGCCGCGAGTTGGAGATTTATAACCTGCTAGGGGCTAATGATCCTGAGATTACTAGTGTACCCTACACTAGTAATCTCAGGATCATTGCCGCGTTCAAACCGGATCATGCGTTGCGGTGACTCAATGCAAAGTCAATGCAAAGTCAATGGTGACGCGCGTTCCAGCGTGGAACTGCATGTGCGTCTCGGGATGCACGTACGTACTGCGCGGCAAAGGCGCGGCAGAGGTACAGGAGCGGAACATCGACGCACGCAGGAGATAAATATTGCTGAGCGTTTCCTCGGGACGCTCGTGCAGCAACCAATCAGAGAGCAGCAAAGTGGTCACGGGGACATTGGCGGTCTGAGCGAAAATACTCGTAAACAGCCAAAACAGGAGCTAGACCAGGACCAAACCAGGGTTGACAATGGGGGACAAAGTGCTTGTGAACATATGCGTTTTCATGCTCCCGGGATTGTATACAACTGCTTTGAGCGTGTTCTCCGATGCGGAAGTACAGTTTAACAATGAAATAAACGTATGGCGCACCTCCGTGAACACATACTGCTGTTATATAAAGTAGGAAATGCAAACATTCCCTAAACAGAGGAGGTGAGTTAAGATTTGTTTTGCCTCGCATCTAAAGGCCCCGTTTATACGGAGGCGCTGCGCAGACGTTGCCAAGCCAACAGAAACAACCAGGCTCCTTATGCAAATTTCACAGCGTTCATGCGACACACGCGAGCCCAGGTAACGCAGTAACAAAACACATATAAGCCATTGGTCCATAAGCAGCCATAAGACCAAAGTCCATAAATGTCATAAATTATCAAGCATAGTAGCAACTTTTCTAATTCTGCAAGTGACGAATTTCATTATTTTCTCAAATTTTCACAAGATGTTTTTGTCATGTAAAAGTAGATCTCCCTGGGGAAAGGTTGGAGACACCTGGTCTAAACAAACCAAAGGACAAAGGTAACACTTTTTAATAACTACACCTTATTTAGGCTGGATAAGTGTTGAAATAACAATTAATCATGAAAAATTCATTAATTAAGTGTGGCCAACACTTAATAACTACTTAACTACTACAGTTAATAAATGCTTTACTTAATTCCATGTTTTAGTGGCTCAATCCAGATCAAAGTGCCACTTCTAAAACCTACATCAAAAAGGGACATAACCTGCATATTAGACTTTTTACAGTTTTGTCCATGCCATGTTATAGTTTTCCCCTTTTCCTTTAAATTCATCCATGATTGAGTCATTTATATTCTCCTGCGCTGGCTCTGACCAAAGCTAGGATCAATATTAAGATTTTCAAATTGTACCAAATATATAACAAACGTAATGGATCATGCAGAAGATAGTTATATCCTCTGCAGTGATTATTACCTGTGATGAGCGTGTCCATGCTGCTGCTTTTGGCAGTCTGCTCCGAACCCTGCAACAAAAGAGTAGAAAGTCACCCACTGGAGAAGCCCGAAACGGACACACCGGCCGCATACAAGCCACACGCCAGTGACTGAGATCTGAGAACCATTGTAATTCTGTTCTGGAGAACATGAACAGGAAACATGGATATTGGCCGACGCAACAAGGCTATTAGTGTTTTAGTACAAAGTGTGATTAGTTTACATGTTCATCCAGTAGTAGATGCAATTTCATCAAACATGGCACATTCTAAGATTCTATAAAAAGTTATTTGACAACAGAAATATTGCCGCCATCATAGTGTTTGAAAGCGAGGGCTCATCCACTTTAATATGTGGAACTTCTGGTACAATGTTCTAATGTGGTTATAAAACAAAACAAAAAACATTTTCCATAATTACATTTAATGAACAATTTACATATCCCTACGTTGTTTTAAATTTACAAAGAGATACAAATTGAGTAAGTTTATAATAAATAATCAACCATATATTCACCCTTTATAATATCAATCAACAAATTCAGCTGGTCCCCAACCAGAGCACGGGCCCCAGAAGACACCAGGTGCCATGAGGACGATATTCATCAAAATGTAATTTTCTCAATGTGGGACTAATAAAGGCTGGACCAGTGCAAAACCATGAACACTGTAGTGTAGCAACATCTCAGGTAGAAAAAAAAAAGTTGTTTCAGAGCCATTTAGGACTTGCCGCAGTGTTCAAGCACATTCAAAAGACGCACACTCAAACACACACGCACCAGTTAATGACCAGATTTCTTTCAAACCAATTTTTACAGTAAATGTTACAGTAGTAAGTGTTTCTAATGTGTCACGGCTAAGCATGCTTTCCATCCATCCATTTTCTTCCCCTTAATCCATTTCTGGGTCGGGGGGGTGGCAGTCAGAGCTGCACCCAGTACACAGAGCACCAGCCCCTCACTGATCCTCCTGCAGGTGGTGAGTCCACAGGAGCTGAGATCTTTCAGTGGGGCTTCAGGCAAAGTGGGGTTAAGTGTCTTGCCCAAGGACACAACGACAGCAGACATCAGTGGGAGTTGTGAAGTAGGTCTTGTGGTGGGCTCGAACCCCCAACCTTAAAGTGGACATATCGTGTTTTCAAATAATTGATTTTTACATCTAAATCATTAATTGGTGGCCTATATAAAGCGTAACTGCAATGCCTGGGTCTGAGTCTCATTATTTGTAGCTCCACGGGCCTTTCTTCTACACCTGTTCTGAGGTGCGTCTGAGAGCAACCTGTTTTTGTGCTGTCTCTTTAAATGCAAATGAGACAGCATTTGCATTTAAATGCAAATCCAGGTGACATAGGTTCAACTCCCAGGAGGGGGGGGTGGTGTGGGCATGGGGGGGGGGGGTGGGGGGTATGGTGGGGGGGGGGGTATGGGGGGGAGGGGGGGTGTTTGGTCGTGGGTGGGGGGGGTTGGGGGGGGGGGGTGGAGAGGGGTGGGGAGGGGGGCGGGGTCGGGGGGGGGGGGGGGTGGGGGGGTGGGGGGGGGGGGGGGAGTGGGGTGGCGGGGGTAGGCCATTTTTGTAGTTTACAACGTGTGGCATGGTTGTATATGTACACCTTTAAATGTGCGCGTGGGCGGCACCAACACTGTCTTTATAGGCGCGTGCATGTGGTGCGCGTGCAGACCACACACACCTGTCCAAGTGGGCATTGGAGTGAGTGCCGTGTTGCTGCTCTGGTTTGGAGATTTGTCCACCAAAGCACGCCACTTTCGGCTCTTTTCATCCAGGCTGCGTATTTGCAGTCTGTATAATCTGCTGTGGTTGCATCACCTGTGTCTGCGTCTGAGGCTGCAGTGGACTTGGATTACCACTAAACAACATTTCTGCTTTCTCCACTTTTTCTGGCTTTGGTTCAGATTTTTTAATCTCTTTAACTAATTCCTTAATCAGTGACAAACTATCATCAGTTTTGGGGCTGCTTTTCTTCCGAAGTAGCTTTTTAATAGTACAATATGACCTAACAAAAGCTGGCGAGTCAGTATCCAAATTTAGAATGTGTTTTTCCTTTTCAGCTGTCGGTAGTTCTCTGAGCATCCGCTGATAGAACATCTTTTTGATCAAATCATAGGTTGGGGTGGACTCTCTTGGATACAATGCATCAAACTCCTTATTTATTCTATGCTTCATGGCCTCGGCTGTCTCTCCATCCTGCACTTCTAGATTTATGGTTTCCATAGCATTCATGGGCACAGGAAATAACGTTTCCATTTTTTCCATCACAGCTGAATACCATGCTTCCACTGAACAGCTGTTTGTGGCTCGAACTGCAACATTTTCAAATCCTGTGGACATGATTGGAAGATGGACACCGAGAACGGTAGTGAGATCATTTAGGGTTAAATTTTGAGCAGGATAGTGTTCCAGGATTGACAACAAACATGCTCTGCCCCCATACTGCCTGGGTCTTTCATTCTCATTTTTATAGAGTCAATTTCAGTTATAGTGAGCGGTTTACATGTCCTGATCTCTCTGCCGGACCTAGATGTCGATACTACAATTGGACACATCGACACATCTTCTCCTTGTCTGCGCCTAGCTTTCCTCTTGTTCTGTCGCCTTTCCTGTTGATAATAAATTTCCCCACTCGTACCGTCGTCTTCTGAGTGTTCAGCTGTTACAAACGCATCTGAGCCGGTCATCAATAAATCTTCGTCTGACGAGCTTGATTCTGCATCTATAGTCTGATTAGATCGAGTAAAATAACGATGCTGTCTTTCTTTTCTAACTGTAATCGGCTTTTGAAAGCTGATTCTTAAATCTGTCTTTTTCCTAGTCCCTGAGTGCTGGTCCACTTCTTTCTGGGCCTCTCTGTCTGCGCCCCCCTCGCACCTCTGAGCTGTCACTCCTCCCGCCCCCTGCTCTCGCAGCCCTGCTCCTTTTTCTGCCTGAGAAGTATTCTCTTCAAATTTCGGACTAGAATGACTAATAAAGTTTTTTCCATTGAAACCATTTGCAAATGAATTTCCCCTAGTCCCTGGGGTATGCTGCAAGTGAGATGGGCCTCCCTGAATCGTGTGGTTTTTAAGCTCACTTTCCAGTCTTGTCAATGTGTCATTAAATTGTCTTTCAGCCACTTGTGCCACAATTTCTCCAACCTGATCAATGTGTTTCTGAAGCTGGGTAGTCTGAGCTGTAACCTCCCGTACCTGCCTGAGCGCCTCTTGGGAGTATTTTTGATCCAGACTCTCCTCTCCTGTGCTAGTCACGGTACATTTGATTGGCTCTTCAAATGTAATCAATGGAGCCATTGTTGCAGAATCTTTACTTTTCACTAATTCTGTTAAATCTGGATACAATGGAGCATACGGTGGAGGGGAAGAATCAGGAGCTGTACTTTGCAATTTGGCAGCAGTCATCCATTTCTCATTTAGTTTGATCATCATTGAAATCAGAGTAACCTCATCTGTCAACTTTTGAATTTTCTTATTTTCTAACGGCTTCTCTCTTTGCATTTGAGAACGTTTCTCCAAAACTAATTCTCTTAGTTGTTTCATTAACCCTTCACTTGGGGGTGAATTTGACTTAGCTAAAATACCATCTTTCTTTTTTGATTTTAACCATGTTCTAACGCTCCTTGTTGTTGTATTTTTAATCTCTGTTGTCCCCTCTAAATACTGTATAATCCCCTTTATCCACTCATCTAATGTTACAGATGCCATGTTTTCTACCGTCTAGATTACAAGCCTTGTGTTATCAATATCAATGTAAAGAATCAGCAATTGGGTGCGTAATCTTAGAGCGTCAGATCGTGGTATCTCCCCGTTCGACCACAAAATGTGGTGGGGAAATGTACGCACGAATCGTGACCCCGTTCTACGCGACCCAAATTACTGCGTTCACTGTGACCGTTTGTGCAATGGTCACTTTCAACAGAAAACATCAATCACTCATTCACACCAAGAGAAAAATTAAAAAGTGAGAAAAGTTAGACACTGTCCCTGTCCTTTCCCTTATTGTCAATTAATTAAAACACACAGTTTTCTCCTTCAACCATTAAATCACTGAGATAGCACACAGTTCACTCCTTTTAACTCATAAATCACTTAGATCCTCACACAGTCCTTTTAGGTTGACTATCAATCACTGAGATAACACACAGTTTTTCTCCTTTTCTTAAGTCACTTAGACTTGAAAACTATTATCCCAATAAATATAACATACTTGCAAGCAAATCCTTCAATATTTACCCTACTTTTGTTTGTTTGTTTTTTATTTTTAGGTCTCAGGTCAGGTGAAAGGAAAGATTAATTAGTTGGTAACAACTCTTACCGTTTTACTTTGGCGCCAAATTAATCTTTTCTTTGACCGGGCCTTGTGTCTCCTGTCGAATCCTGTTCGAGCGACGCCAAGTTCTGCTGTAATTTGTCAGAATTCCCCAGCCCCAGAAGCTGCAGAGAGGCCGCAAACACAGCAGCCCTTCGTTCTGCAGGTCCTTTTAGTTCAACAAGAGACAAAAACCAATGTTAAAACAGTAATAGAAATGACAGATACCAAACCTGATTTCAAAAGGTTATATTGAAGATTTGCAAGCAATATTACAAGATAACGGTCCGCGAACAGGTCTCGCTTCGCGTTCAGATAAGGAGTGGCCCCGGGGACGTCTTTCACCCTCCTGGTCAGAAGAAAAAGAAAAAGCCCCCGTGCCTCCTCCTGTACATCTTTTATACTGTACATCCAAGGTCACTGACATCACAGATTCGTGGACTCTATGACTCCTTCTGGCCAGCTGCCAAAGCCTGCACCTGCTCTGATAACAACAGTTGTTTTTCTCACTTTTCATACAGACTAACCTTGAACTCACTGCTCTTTGAGATTTACACAAACAAGTGCTAATTTGGCAACAGAAACAATACTAAACTGATTTTAGTTTTAACTGGTGCAGGAGTTAATATTCCAACAATACGCACCTGACACAAAGTGCTCCGAGCATATTCTTGCGTGTTTTG